TGGGGGGGGGGGGGGGGGGGGGGGGGGGGGGGCCAAGCAGCCAAGCGGTTGACTGGCCGCGGTGTTGGAGTATTGCTGGCAGTCAGTAGCGTCAGGAGATGGGTTGGTAGATCAGGGAAGGGGTATACGCACATGGTGACGAGATTTGGGAGAACGTGCTGTTTGTCGTTTGGCGAATAAGAGAGAAATGGAAGCCCGTTGACGATTGAACGCCACGAGCAAACTCGACCCGACGGTTATAAGAAGCCGATGGGGCTACCCCACTAACAGCTCGGCTAATCTTTACGGACTACCTCCGCCCAACTGCAAAAGGCATGAAAGCAAATAGCGCAGCCTCCTTGGTTATTACAGGCACCACACGCTCCATCAATCAATTACAGTGGGAGGCAAAAGGATTTGACCAGGTCCGGTATCTTGCTATCGCGCTCTATCCTATCATTGATGCTATGCCAAGGTATATTAGTGTGTACTTCTTGGCGGGCAATATATTCTGACAGGCACTGGCGCAGTAGACTTGCACAGCTCAAAGTTGATGGCAAATGTCTGGTAGACAGCCTGCTCTGCTGCTGTCGGCGGCCAACGCGGAAGGCGCTACTGCCGCAACTGCCGCAACTGCCGACAGTTGACGGCGACGCTGCACTTGTACAACAAAGCCCAAAGTCCAAAGAGCAAAAACGATCTTGCAAACATTTCGTCGGCCAACTGACACTGGATTGAGACCTTGCGAACCTGTACCACACTGAGACCAATAACAACTAGTACAAAAAAAAAAGCCAGGCAAATGCTCAGGCAAATGCTCTTCCTTCAACAGCCGCAGAGCCACTCACTCTCGCTCTCTAAGCAGGGTCCAAACGTGACCCCCGGCTCCGATCGGTTCAGTCAGGGGCTCTGCATTGCGACCACTACCTAGGTACCTAGGTAGTTACTATTCACCTGCCACAAAATCATGCGTAAGTGGCGGTGTAAATGCACCAGTTGACACTAACACGGCAGGCTTGCTTCCCCGCTTAGTACCAACTCTCCAGTGGAAATGACGACTATTCTTCCGTCTCCAGTTTGTTCAATTGCAAGCGGTAATTGTACGTATCGTCATTTGAAGAAGCACCTGGCCACCCTGGCGAGCCAAGGGAACTGCTCCGTCGCCATCGAGAAGGCCTCTAGAACAGGGCAGAGCGACGGTGCTGGAGCACGTGGGCCGACGTTGCAACGCTAGAAGTTTGGAAACCTATGTGCCGCACAATGGGCCAACATGCGACGTGGTGTTAACATGATGCATGTATTTCTAATATTGTTACTATTATTATTTGAGTGCGCAACTGCCACTACGTTACCAGCACATTAGCTGGATTCTCTTGCACCGGTTGACACTTGTACTTGGCTTTTCTCCTTGGTCTCTCATTATGGCGTTGATGCTAAATTAACCACTAGACTAACAATTGGATTGACTGCTAAACTACGTAGTACTCAAGTAACCATCAAATCAACTACCGGACCTTCACCCAGTACCGACCTAGGTAGAGGCAACAAAAGTGGGTCATGTTGAAGTTGCTTCACGGGGCAATCGCCCATCATGGCCCTGGCATCAGTTATTAATGCGAAAGGATATCACTCCATGTCCAACTTGCTGCAAATATGGGCAAAGCAGGCTTGAAATGCTTTGGTTAGAGGCCATACGAGCTTGGTAGAGACGAACGATTGTAGCATCCCCGAGGCCTGACACCTCCTCCATCGTCATGCATAACAAGTATGTACATACGCAACCCCCGGAGGCAGCAGGAGTGCATCATCATGGCCCAGCTACGTACTCACAATGCGGCCTCCAAACAAGCATCGGGTGCCGTTGTCCAAACCGTGGGGCGTGGAGCCCTATCGCATCACCAAGGCCATGAATCATGCCACGCGTTGCCCAACATCATGGCATCCCGCCAACCACATGCCTAACACGTCCTCAATCTCCTTCCCAATCCTCAACTCAACCTCTCCCTCCTCCGTCCCAACAACCGGGTCCTCGAATCCATCCAAAACCTCCTCACAATCCTCATCCCGCACGCAGCCATCGCCCCTCTCGACGCCTCATTCACACTCATCGTCTGGCCCCAAATCCTTGCCCTCGCCCCTTCCTTCGCGTACCCCTGGCGCCAATACTCTGGAAGCAGGCGGAATCCGATCTCAACTTGCGTCGAGTCCACTGCCCCGTTTGCAACGCTTGGTGCCAGGGAGAAGCAGCCGATCGCGTCGGCGCCGCGATAACCTACCCAGTATCCCAGTCCATCTACTTTTGTGGACGTCTCCGGGCGAACTGTGTGGTCCTCGGTTGCTTGGCCCATGGTGAGGGGCGTATCCTCGAGGTATTTCATTGCGACAGGGGAGGTGTCAAGGGTCATTCATGATGAGATTAACGTGTGAGGGGATGAAGTCAAGGGGCGGAGGATCAGGCGGCCCGTCGTTATTGTCAGTTGAGGCATGTTGATATATCACGATTGGTTCATGATGGATTCATCTTCATGGTGTTGCGGAGGTAAGTTTGCTGTCTGGCAGATGCGTCGACTTGCACAGTAAGTTGGTCACAAGCTTCGGATTTCGACGTGTTCCGAGTCACGCCGACCGTACCACTCATTATCTCTTCTTCATGTAGATAATTAGACCTAGCCACTCAACTCTCTTACAATGGCTGCCCCAATCCTGCGGTACGGACAGGATCATGATTACATGGCTAAACATGTTTTTGTTGCTGTAGAAGAGGCGCAGCTCAGCCATGTTTGGTGTGTGAGCGCACCTACAATGATCGCAGTCTGACCCTCAAGATTGAGAAGGTGAAAACATTCTACGGTCCATCATGGCGGCTATTCTTTGAAGCGTTAAAGAAAATTTGCGACAGATACCGCCAGCTTGGTTCGCTATCTCGGGGTCGACCTTGGTTTGAGTCGCCTCGTGTTGACTTGTGTTGAGAACAAACGAGTCAAATCCACGGATCTTTGCGATAAAACGTTGTTCATTGGCATGTACCACTCTTTGAAGGTCATAAACTACGTGAGAAAAGTCCTCGGCAGCAAAGCAATCCACGCAGCACACCCGGGGCTTTGGGCATGCAACTCTCCAAGTACTGCGTTCCAACGTGGCAGTCAGAACCTCATGTACGCGGTCAACAAGACTCTACTCGCCGGTAAAAACGCTCCACAATTTGAAGAGCCCAAGAGACTCAACGACTGCCTTGGCTTGCGTGCGTATGATGCTCTGGTTGCTTACTTGTGTGGCGTAGGCAGCGTGCACCTCAAACTTCGTGACTAGCAGCAAGCAAGATGCCCCCAGCTGCGAAGAATTCTGGTGATTCTTCAGCATTCCTGTTGCAAGATCTTGATGTTAGCCTTTGCCAAACGAGCACTCGTATGCGCGAAGCCATCTCCTCTGTTCAAAAGTTTGTCCAGCGAATTCGGCTGGGACTTGGGCTGCGGGCAGCATCATTGCCAAGCGCGTTTAAAAAACGCAAGAGACATGACTCTGGATCCTACAAACAGTTCCAAGCCTACTCAAAGCGGATTACATATCACGAAGACTGGATTCAGTGAGAGGAACTGTGACCTGATGCCTCCAAGTTCTTAAAGCCAACCCTATCAGCACATGGACTTCCTGTCC